ACCTATAATGGTTTACTTTTATAAATTTTGACTTGGATGGAGAGTTGTCTACACTCATACCACATCTTCTTATATCTATAGATTACCTTAGCCGTTTTTGGCACAACGTTTTGGAATTTTGGATCCTCAATGCTCTTCAACTTTATATTTGTTTAGCTTTCTAACTATTTTGGTCTGGGCGTCACTGATGAGTCTTATGCAGACGAAACGCTCGTCTGGCGTATTAAATTATAAGCATGGTACCTTTGATAACTATTATACATTCAACTAATGAATGAAATTTATGTTTATGCATTTATTTTACAAAATTGCATATTTGAAAATATGAATTCAAAAGAATAATCTAGTGTTGCTTTTTTAAAGTCCGTCAGTATACTGCTTCAACCACCTTGTATTCCTTTTCAAAGAGAGTGAAGTTTTGACAGATGGGTGCATTTGTCTTTCTTCAATTGACATTGTGAAATCTATATTGATTCATGGCTATACACTTATGTTTTGATCATATGTTAGTTTTTAGTGTGAGTGGAATTGCTGTGCCATATCTGTTGGTCATAGATTTACTTTTGTCGGCAATTTGTACATTTTCCCTTTCGCCTTACTGTCTAATATGCTTCTATATCATTGACAGAACCTGATGATATAAGCAAATGACGTTACGTAACAGTGCAGTTAACTATTTAAATTTGTTTTATATTCTCAACCATAAGCTTTTTGTACTGTTTGGACAAGATACAGAATGTGAAGTAATTTGACACCATGTAGATAATATTGTTTGTATCTAACTGTATGCGCCAATCTTGCTGGTTTTTCCCCAGGTATATCCATGCCATATTGAAGTGTTGTATTTGTTCCTTCAAGAAGCATGATAACGACATAGATTGAAATTAGAACACAACTATGTGTAACCTGGTAATCGTCAATGTTGTATGGATTAATATATTCTAATGGGCGAACCCAGGAGGGGGCAAGGAGGTCCAGATCCCCTTATTACTGAAAAATAATAAGGTGTTTTGTTCATTTTCTTATTTTGTTATTGCATTCTCCCCAAATGGCAAATAAATATGTTAAGCAGCCAAGCCTCGTTTTAAAAATCCTGGATACGTCACTGATAACAGCCTGTTTATTGTGAATTATAGCACGGCAAATTTATCTTTAAAATTATCTGAGTAATAGGTTCTTTCTTTAATGCATACTTGAAAAGTGACCTTGTTAGAAAGTTGCTATTAGATTATATCAGTTGAAGGCAGCAATTATGGAAAATCATTAATCGGAATAGAATAAACAAGTATAAAGCTCGCACTGTCGCAATTACAAGTATGCTTAGAGGTAAAAATAAACGTCAAAATTTTATGGATTGATATATGCTTATGGGCGGACACAGGAGGGCCTAGGGAGACACGTCTCCTTATTGCAGAAGAATAATGCGGTTTTGTTCATTGCCTGATTTTGGTATTGCATCCTCCCTTAACTGTAAATATTTCCCAAAAAATCTTCCAAGAAAACATACTCGTAATTCTAATGCAATTATTGTGTGGTTCTGATTGGATGACAGTAAGCGTAAAATTCTCTATCTCCTTGTCTGTAACTAAGGAAGCCGACATTTTGAATTGTTGAATGTATTGACATGTAATTTTTACAATAATAAGCAAAAACAAACTCACACGTTGGACCTAGAAATCTTCTTTTTATCAAATTTTATTACATTCTGAAGCCGCCAAGAAGCTAGAAAACGCCCGGTGTTTACGTTTAACGCCGGAAGCATACCTATGACGTCGCCTAGTTTAGGGGCCAAAGAAGATAACATCTTTTCGCGGAATTTTCTTTAATGAGAATTTTACACTGAAATAATGATTGAAATTGAATTATGAACTTGTTTTGCATTAGAATAGAGATAACTGTATTGTATTTGAAGCTTTGCAGACGTCCATCGGTAGTTTTACTGTCGTAAATACCTGTTTACCTGTATCCGCTACGTGTCGCCCGGTAGACTAAATTTGCGACAGTAAAACTACCGATAGACGTCCGCAAAGCTTCAAATACAATACAGTTATCTCTTAAGTCTTGAACATTTCAGAATAGAATAATCATGTATAAAGATCACACTTTCAAATCCCAGAATGCTTCGAGGGATAGATAAACATGTACTTTTATTGCTATTTTTTTACCTGTATACGATTCATAGTTTGCTACATTCCCCAAAACAATAGCAAGGGATATTCAAGTTAACATCTGCAAACCATTTGTTTAAGATACTTGGATGGATGGAAATACAAAGCAATCACTATACGTGACTCTCAAAATTTGTTCCAGGAACATCAAAACTTGGGAGGATAATTTAAAAACTTATTTAACCCCAACTTATTAATGTGCTTGTTTTAATTAAGGAACTATGCTGCTGGTCGTCCTTTTATACTTGTATGTTTTTTTTTCTTCTTTAAAATATAGGGTGTTGATTGAAGATCTTTGGTAGAAAATAGATATTACCTCTGTTCATTTTTCTGCATTTGAGAGTTCGACAAAATAAGACTGGTATATTGACTTTATAAGTTGTTGACATACTCTCACGTTAGTTTAAGATATTCAAAAAAGACAAAGAAGAAATAAAAACAAACAATAAGCCTGGCAATGGTTTTATTATCACAGATTTACCATGGAATGTCATACTAGTACAAAATATTTATTGCCCAATTGGTTTGTTATTTGTTCCTGATGAACATAAGGAACATAAATAAATCATAATTATTTTACTGCAAATATAACATTTTCATGTGTAGGAAGGATCCCATACATAACATTTTCTATTCACTGATATTTTTTATATAGAATATAGGTTGGTAGAGTTCGTTATCCTGTTCTCCTAAGATGACCAATTCTCATCTTATTATTAAAATTAAATCAAATTGTGTCAAAAGCCTAGATCATGTTTAAATTCATAAATAAATAACTTGAGAAAATTAGTTTATATTTGTTGACTATCTTGAAATTTAGAATGATGCACAAAATTTTAAATTCTGTAAAACAAAACTAATAATGACATTTTCTATACATGAATTTGTTTATCCAAAAATTTCTATTTTTATTTTCAAAGGAAATTACATATGGAAGCTGCCATTATAAAATTGATTGTTTGTTTGTTTGTTTGTCTTTTTTAAATAAAAAAACACACTAAAAACATCACTAAACTATTTTGGCATAATCATTCAGTTAATGGGGGGCCTCGGTGGCCGAGTGGTCTAAGTAGTTACTACTGTAATCACTAGCCAGTCAACACTGAGGTTGTGAGTTCGAACCCCGCTCGTGCGGGTGCACTCGACTCCAATCTTAATTGACTAGGATTGTCAGTTTTCCTATCGAAGGTCGGTGGTTTTCTCCGGGCACTCCGGCTTCCTCCACCAATAAAAACTGGCCGCCACGAAATAGCCCAAAAGCGGTGCTTAAAAGTGGCGTTAAAACACCAAAAATCAAATCAATCAAATCATTCAGTTAATGGAAAAATCTATGGTTTTGACAAGATAGTCGTTTTGGTTTCTCTCAGCCTATTCTAGGTAAAACATCTTATAAATTTTGTTCAGTCAACATCCTATATTCAAGTCATATTGCAACATCTACAGTGAGTTGTTAGTACATCTAACATCAGTATCTAAATCCCTAATACTGACAAATCATTTATATACAAGTTCAGGCTATTCCATTCAAAGTGGAAGAGTAGGAAAGGAAAAAATCAAAGTAAGAATATTGTTTAAAGGGTTTCTGAAAATCCCTTCCTAACCCCAATTTAAATAGAATAGCCCTTATATACTATACTAAATTAAGCCAATATACAGCAATACAGTGACCTACAATTTAAATATTACAAAATCATGTGACCTACTTAAATCTATGATTTGAACAATAAAAAAATCAGGTGACTTTAATATAATATGCCACTACTATTAGAAATGAAACATGCAATTCTAATTTTATTTTATCAAAAACTGTCTTTAAAAAATCAGAGAAAAGCATGAACTAGTCGACTGAACAAAAGTACTGGAATTGACTGTATATTGTATATGTTTACAATAAACACTTGTATAAATGCAATATACAGGATTAATAAACAGACTAGACATAACAGTATTTTATACTGATTTCAAGAGACAAGATAACTAAAGTCATCTTGCATACAGTGATGAAATATTAGTTACAGCTTTATCACAAAATTTGGTATATAGTTATTAATCTATTAGTTATAGCTATTCCACAACATCTGGTTTATAGTAATGAATTATTAGTTCTAGCTATTCAACAAAATCTGCTATACATATAGTAATGAAAGACAAGTTAAAAGGGTTAAAGTACTGAAGTTACCAAAATTCGGAAATCAAGATAAATTCAAAATTTTGTAAGGAATATCAGCGGGCAAAAAATGTCAAGGTTAGAAATCCAGCAAATTCCTGAAAAATTTCATGCATGAAGTTACAGCTATCCCACAAAACATACATCTGTAGAGGTTGCCAAGCATACATATATATTGACACTGAAACAATTGCCTCATGTATAAGTAGTTGAAATGTGAAAATCTTGACTAACCTTAATACCTATGGACACACACTATCACAAAACTTGGAAGTCAAGTGCAATCCATTTACACAAACGGTAATGTTTTTTTCTAAATATAGGCCAAATTTTTTACTGTTTAAATATCATAGATAAAACTTATACTGGTTTAAAGGTCCAGTTTAAAACAACTGTTTGAGGATTTGGTGACAAGTTTATGAGTTAGTTATTATCGGTGGGAAATAATGTACAAAAGTATAAAAATAGATATTATAAAGGTGTCAAGTTTAAAAAGGAACTCATCTGCAATCAGGTGAGCTGCGTAGGATAGAAATTGACCTTATGCAAATGAATATCAATACATCTGTTTTGTTATTTCGGGTTGAAAATATCTCTATGCAAAGTCTAACTGTTTGAAAATGAATTTGAAACAAGAAACCCTACAAAACAGACCAAAACTTATCTTTTACTTCATATTTGAATGTTCCAAAATCAATCAAAGACTTATACATGTACATGTATATGTGTACTTGCATAAGGTTGATTTCTATCTGAGGCAGCTCAGATGATAATTTTCTTAGGGAATAAGTTGAGGTATTTCTTCACCATACCTGCCAACACACCAGTTCTAAGTAGAAGACTCCCCCTTTTTTTCCTTAAAGAATTTCAAATTTCCCGTATTGGATTTGTCACAGGGGAGGAAACAAATCTTCCCTCTGTGTCAAAAAAAATCAACGTTTATCATTTCACTTCTTTTGATATTAATTTCTTTGGTTCATTTACACTGCAAAAACAATTTTTTCCCCAGACATTTAATGGTATCAAGACTTATTTTTTACTTATAAAACCCAGGTATAGAAAAAACAATTTTATCTTTTTGTGCTTTATGATTATCTTTATACAAAATTTAAAATGAAAGAGGTGTTCATGCATATTCTCCCTCTCAGTGGACCTGGAAAGAGGTGATATCCTCCTCTATAGCCTCAAGAGGTTGGCAGGTATGCTATATATAGCTAAAACTGAATATTAGTTCTGATGGTTCGCTTCAGGCTAACAAGCTCTAAAAATGTAGTATTCATCAAAACAAAATTTTTGGCAATTTCAATGCATGTTCTCCATTGATAGTGGTTATGAAGAGATTTGCAAAATGAAACAATAGAACTGGAGAGCTGTGATAAAGTTTGTTAGTCTTTTAACATTATTCTATTAAGCAAGAGAAAAAAAAATATTAGCCTGATTGGCATTATTAACAAAAATGGTGAGCTTGTTAATCTCTAAACCATCTATAATCTCTAAACCATCTATAATCTCTAAACCATCTCAACTGATGTACACATGTATCACAGTGCCTCAAGTAAAAAATTCCATCAAACATCAAAAAAGTTTGATATAAAAAAGTAACAAGGTAAAAAACTTGCATCTAAGAGGTACAAGAACTGCTCACAACCATGAATTCTGATCACATTTAGCAGTTTATCGTTGATTTTACACATTAGTATGAAATACTCTAATTTTTTGTATCACCTGTTCCTGAGAATTCAGAAATTAATCGTTTCCAACCAAATCATGATTATTTGAAACCAAATTTTTTTGTCGGTTTCAGCTTTATTATGGCATTTGCCCTTTCAGTCATCTTCGGAAAATTTGCATACACATGCGTTTATTTCCAAACTAACAGTAGTTAGAGAGTATCATAATGTCAAACTTTTAAGTAATATCTCTGAATTATTTTATAGTCAGGAATGGATAAATTATTGTCAACAGGAAAAAATACACTGGAAAAAATGATAACAAATCTGGCAACAATGGAAATCAGGTGGCTTAAAACTTCTCAAACATGGAATATTTTGTCCTAATAGAGACATAAGTATTTTGACCAAATTATTATGCTATGTTTTTAATCAGCACTATTTTAAACTTTAAAAATTCATTGAACATCAATGTATCTCTTTTTGATAAACAGAGTAACTTCCCTTTCATAGAATTTTTTCCCTTTCCCTTGCAATATAATAAAACTACAAAATGCACTTTTCTGCATGAGTAATGATTTTTGTGCATGATGAAGTATGATATATAATACTGATTTAATGCATTATATCATTTTTATAAAACCTCAGCATGCAAGAGACAAAATCTTCAAAAAGGGGAGATAACCTGTATATGTTTGAAATTAAGGGAATGGAATTCAACAAAATAATAAAGTGTGAGACAGAAATAGCGAGACATACCTTTCATGAAAACAATCCCTTCATTTTGACTTCTCATTACAAATAAACTTGGTATAAAACAGTAAAAAAAATATATAACAAATCTGCATTACTTTTTATGAAAGGTAAAAAGATTTAATATTTAGTAGAAAAAATGAAAATATGTTACCTGTTTTGAAGACTTGAATGAAAGAACTCTAGCTAAACACTACTCTAACTTTCATCCATTTTGATTTATACTGTTGGCCTATTACCTTAAGTTTCATTTAATTTGTTATGAATATTAGCAAAAAAATATGGACAATCCAATGAGACAAAACGCACACTGTACATAAACCAAAAGACATAGTCTTAAACAATACACAAGCATCTTCAGAATATTAAAATTTTAAAAAAGATAGTTTGCAAATCTTAATAGTTGATGGATTTGAGCTTTTTTTCTCACAATTACTTTATTGCATCTTTCTAAAAGTATTTTTGGCAATACAATTTACTACAAACATTTAGTGTCTTTTAACTTCCTCAGATACTTAAAAGTATGATCAAACTGAAAAATTTCAAGTCCAATTCAATTCATCATAACAAAAAAAATCACAGAAAAAAAATATCAAGAAAATTTCTAAATAAAGATGAAAAAAAAATAAACTCAAAATTTTTCAAGACTGGGGCAATTTGGAGCTTGATATATTGTACAGACATTTAAATGTTTGTAAGCTGATGTTGAACTCTATATGTCTTTTGATTTTTGAGTGTTGTTTGGTCGCTGTTTAATTTTACTCATATGAAATTCATTTAGTAATTGAAAAAGAAGTAACCATCAACTTTTTCCAAAATCAAGATATTACAAAGAAAAACAAATACTATTCAACTTCACGCCAATCTTACGACATATCACATTTTTACAAATTAAAAGAAACTCATAGCTTCAAGGGCCTTATATAAATACACATATACAATATATGTACATCATGCCAAAAGATAAAAATAACGCTAATAAACTATCATATACTATACATAATAAATATATAAAAACATATCATCATCCCTAAAAATTAACAAATAATTTACAATAACAAAAACGTCCATAATATGATATGTAAAACTGTCCAACAAACTCAATGAAAGGATGAAAAATATGCAATCCCGAGCTAATTTACAGGCAAAATATAAATATGTTTTTGTGTAGAAACCTGCCATCAAAATTATATTTTGTCCCTTAGGTCAATGAAATTATATTCTCCCCATCAGGTTTTTCATGTTTTTCTAAATATTTGGTTGCAAAAACTTTAACTTGAGGATACCCATTGCAAAAATTAAATCTTTGCAAAATTTTTTGTAATTGTGCGTTTATATTTAGGGAAAAAAAAACTGTTTGTTTATTATTTGGAGAAAAATCTATCTTTTTATTGCTAAATAATATTCTACTGTTTGCACATCTGAAATTTTAAAGACTATGCTATTTGAAGGTCTGTTTTCTTAATTTAAAAACTGGAAACTTATTTTAGATATCATAACTCAGCATATCCCGAGGGAGTTTCATAATAACTGCAAATGCAGGTAAAAATGTACACCAAATATTCTCTGTTCTTTATTTTTTAGTGTAAAAACCAATGTAAATTAATTAAAAAATTCCCATTTCCAGAGAAATAAAGTACCTTTACAGACAAATTATTCAACTTAAGGAACAAAATGTACTTTAAATGGCCTAGTAATTCTAAAAATAGAATCAAATGGATAAGCTTCTTTTAGAATAATTTAAGCAAGTCAAATAAATAGATTGTGTAGAAGCTGTTAAACCAACTTTTGTATTAGTATGAATACACAAATATGTTTCCATTATATTTCTATTAATCTCCAACTGCAAAAAATACTGTTTGTAAAATTAAAACCAGAATTCAGTGGTATATTTAGACCTGGGTTAAGGGAGACTACTATTTATATCAGTAATGCATTTGAAATAGTCAAGTTTCATCATGCTTTTAAAGCCCTCATGTGAAACAGATGTAAACATTATCTATGTTACTTCAAAGCTTACAATATATCTGTGAGAATAGTTGACAGAAACGCACCAGTGATTTGTAGAATTGTACCCTCAATCTAGGTCTTCCATCTTAAATAAATAAATAAACAAATTTGATTTCTGCTAAGTAGTTAATGTCTATTAAGGAAACCTAGATGTAGTTGTTCTGGAACATCTATCGTTTCCATGGCTATACTTGATGGATTGAACGGGAATGTTACTGGGAAAGTATATTTTGTGTCCATTAATAACGTGTTGTCAGCTTCCTGCCGTCCTTGTAATTTCTTCTGAATCTTCCTAATAAAACTGACTGGTACCCGCTCCTCAAACTCGTCAACAGGTGTGTACAGATTCAATATTTTAACAATCTGCAAGAAAATCAGAAGTTACCCATCCATACATGTGATTCTTCCGGCGGGAGTCAAAATCTCCCGCATTTCAGACCCTCTTCCGTCCCTCCCGTTAAAATTTGAAATCTTCCGCTTTTTGAAAATGTCAACCTCGTAAAATTTTCATTAGACATTTTTGTTTACAAAATCGATACGGACAGAGAAAAAGTCCGAGAAACTCGAAATTGATATGGGAAAAGTCCGAGAAAAACGGAAGTTTCCTGTAATGGATTTTGTGTCAAAAGTTAAAATAGGTAAAATTAGCCTGAGGTGTTTAGGATTAAACTGTATATACAACAATAAATAAAAGATAATAGGCAATTACCTAGTGATCAACTAGCTAGTTTAAGACACAAGCAAGGTTGATTAAAAGTGAAATACTGACAAAGGATTAAATTGTACAAGTTGTATAAACAACAATTTAATTTGATGCTGTTGAAAACATGGAACGTTTACTGAACCTCAAAGACAAATGAAATCAACTCAAATATGATATTTATGGCTTGTTTTCTATCCAAGCCAATGGAATACCTATATAAGTACAGTTGTCTTGGACTATTCTAAAATTTTAGAATTTGACAAAATGCAAACCGTATTTTTATATCACCAAATACCCCAGCAGCAAATAAAAGAAGACCAAGTATCTAGCCAAATTCAACTCTGCCTGGAGATCTGATTTCAAATGATGCAGATCCAGTACCAAGGGTCAAGACCATGCTTACTACACTTCATGCAAAGCTGACTGTGGTGGCCCTAATGATTTGACCAAACTTATGGGGACAGCTACCCACCAGCAAGCCTACAACTCTATCAATTAACACCTTCTGTTACAAGCATGTTCAGTAGTAGTACCAAAGTTGACAATGTAGCTGAATCAGGGGTACTTTTTGCCAACTCTGTATGATGGCTGATCGCTTTATCTTGAATTATATATAATGAATAAATATTTGAAACCCCTTATCTTCTATTTTTATCAAGTAAAAATGGATATGGAGTTGTTGAAAGGTATGGAATTATTGTTCTTTTAACAAACAAAAAAGAAGATATGCAGTTTAAACACACAAAAAACCATTGCGTACGTCGATAAATAGGTCGATAAAAAATCTCCAGTTATGAAGCCCAAACTCCAGCTGAAAATTTCCAAATCTCCAGTTGTGGCTTGACAACTCTGTCACATGTCTGCCCATCAATCAGTGTTTTTAGGTTAAATATTTGACAAATTTAAAAGTTGACTTCAATTTGAGTAGATTGAAAGCTTTGAGCAAATATTGGCTCTGAATGTCCTTGAACTTAAATTTAACCAAAACCTGTAAATTTTGCAAAATTCTATGAAAATTTATTTTTTATTTCTAGACAATTGAAACCGTAGAATTCTAATAAATCAACCTGCTAAAAAACTGCTTCCCTTCAATGTTTCATAGCATTTTTTTATAGTATTTATTGTTTGCTTCAAAACTGACATAATAATTTTCATAAACAAAAAGATTTTATAAATGCTAGCAGTATAGAAATTTTGTGACTTTAATACACAATCTATGATGATTATCTACATCATAAAGTTTCATACCTGCATATTTTTCAAAATCTCTATGGGGGAATTAAAGCACAAGAGGACCTAATGCATACCTGTACATGTCATTAGTGTATTTAATTAGAATATCTATGGTTTTGAAGGAGAATGCATGTGTTTAAATGTAATTTTTAATATAAGTATTTAGTCTAACTAATTGAGTTTTATAAGGGACAGGTCAACACCTCTTATGGGGGATATCCCCATAAAGCAGGAAAGTTGACGGTCTGAAGTTTTCCTACACCTAAATGTCTCCCCTCAGCAAGCTATACCCTTCCACATTACTGAAACCTACCTGTGGAGTTGTTAGTTTAGAACACATTTCACATATACTGTCAACATCAGCATCTGTTTTCCTGGCCTGTAATAACTGGGAGGCTTGGGTAATAGGTTCTAATGCTGACAGGGCACCAGATTCTTGTAGCTTGTTGTCACGTAACCACTGTTCTAAATGGCTCAGATTGTATCTGAAATAAAAAAATTAAAATAAGAAAACTGCTCAATTCAGAACAAGTTTTAGCAAAAGCTAAAAAGCAGTGCGGCAAATAATATATCAAATGAAGTTTAAATAAAAGAAAAATGTGTCTCAGGACAAGGATGCCCCTGCTCAACCTTTTTTATTTTTAAGTTAAAAAGGGGCAAACTCTAGAATGGTAAACAACTCACTGCCCAAATTCGAACTCTGTTTGTGTATTGTGGTTCTTAGCATTGCGTATGAGTTTCAGAAAATTTGGACAAGGAAAACCTAAGTTAGAGTGTGGTAACGAAAAAAAATTGCAATTTTCCAAGTTATTAAGGGGCATAACTCTTAGAACAGTAAGTGACTCACTGCCTAAATTCAAACTCAATCTGCGAGTTTTGCTTCTTAACATTGTGTATGAATTTCATAAAATTTGGATTAGGCAAACTGAAGTTGGAGTGCCGAAACAAAAATGGGACAGACGGATGGACGGAGGAAGGGACAGAAGGATGGTCAAGGGTAAAACTTAATGCCCCCGTTGACTACGGCTGGGGCATAATAATATGTAATAAAACAAATGATGATGAATTAGGATTCTAACACAAAAGCAGCCTAAACCCCATACTAATTCCAAGAGGAGCTTAATTATGTTTTATATTCATTTCTTAGAAATACAACAAAAAAATCAGTGAAAAACTCATCTATCTGAAAGAAAATGTTGGAGCTTTGCTAACTATTTTTATTTCAGCACTTATTTGCTTAAAGTGTAAAATACATGTACTGTGGATACATGTCTTTTTCTTGGATACCAATTTTCTGCTAACAGGCCTATAGAAGTTTTGTATTTCCTTGAACCTCAAATTTACCTTTACCCACAAAATGCATGAAAATGGGAATCCCATAAATAATTCTGAATCCACAGTAACTCCTTATGTATACAATACCTAATTTGCATTCCTTTTGACCAATTGCACATATCTTTACGTAGAAGTAGGTTGTTGAGAGCACCAGAGGCAACAAAATAATATAGCTGTCGGAAGATCTGTTTTACCAATTCTGGGTCCACTGCATGTTGGGCCAAAATCTGACTGTATTTGTTCATCTGAAACAGACAAAAAAAAACGATGTAATAAAACTATTTATCTTTAATATTCTGTAAATTCTGAAATTTTGTGCCCATTTATCATTTTGATTGTTTAACAGGCAAACATGTGACATCTATTATTCAAGAAAACACTAAATATTAATACTGCTATCAAAATTTTAAATATAAGTATTTTTTCTTCTTTTTTCGAAACCTTTCCCATTGTAATTGTTGCGATAAAAAAATCATTGTTCAAAATTTCTCAATTTTAGTATCAAAACACATGTCTGATATAACTTACAACTTTCATAAGAGAATCAAGAGACAGTTCTTTTTCCTCAAGTTCATTGGCATTACTAGAACTTCTTCCTCTCATGCCGGAGGGTTTGGAGGCAGTCAGTCCTGCTATGGCTTCATGTTCTAATACTGCTGGTACTGAAATTGTATGACAAAATGTTAGAACTAAACAAGAGTGTACACACTGAATATCTCGTCTTCTTTACTGTCTAATGATTGATTTAATGTTGAAAGTCTTAAAGAAAAAGGTTTTACTGTAAGTATCACATAAACTTAACATTATCAATGATCCATGACAATAAAGTCAAGGTGAGATAAGCCCTGCCAGACAGACATGTACACATTACAATCATTCAGTGCACCAAATAAAGTTAACCTACTGCTTATAGTAAATAGGAAACAGACTTAACTAGGAAAACTTAACATTGACCAATGAACCATGAAAATTAGGTCAAGGTCAGATGATTCTAGCAAGACAAACATTTAAACCTTACAATAATTCCATGCACCAAATAAAGTGCACCCATTGCTGTAAGTATCTAAGAAACAGACTTGACCAAAAAAAACGAAAACATTGACAAATGAACTACGACTTTTCAGGTGGAGAGGTGCAGGGCTCAATCTTGGAACCCATGTGAGTTTGTGACCTTTTGTGCAGATACAGATGTCAATCTAGAAAATTCTTCTATCTGTCTCCCCTCCAAGGAATGATGATGATGATGATGATGATGATGATGATGATGATGATGATGATGATGATGATGATGATGATGATGATGATGATGATGATGATGATGGATGGCTGCTTACCATCCAGCCCCATATTGATATGCATATTCAGGACGAAAACATATTAATGTATACTAATTCATTATTATACGTGGGATACCAATTTTCGTGGTTTTCGTTGGTAATGGCAAACCACGAATTCAAAAGTTCAACGAAGTACAATTTTTCAATAGGCTAGCAGACAGACTTTGGCAAAGCCACGAAATCAAATATCAACGAAAATACATCTTTTTCTCAATCAACGAAAATTGGTACCAACGAAAATAAATGAATCTACAGTATAGTAATATCTACTCTGCTTTGTACTTTGCACGCTGAGCTGGATTTTTAACATGCTAGTTCACAATGTAACAGTCTGTAGGAAGACATGTCACCTTACCCGAACACATTATTCTGATTCCGAGCCGACCAGTCTTTGCTCTTACTCCTTAATGCCACATGCTTATCGGAAAAGCAGCAAATACCAATTTTAAAGTCTTTGGTTTGACCTGGCCGAGGTTTGAACCCACGACCACCCACACTCGAGGCAAATACATTTCCACGAGACCACCGTGGCAGTTCCAAGGAATGAAGGAGAGAAGTAACAAATACCATGTGACCAGTAACTAACCTATCATTTGCTGAACTGACTCCTGCATCTGTTTTATCATTGTCTGGTAGATCCACACAGCCAGATCACTGAACACTTGTCTGTATTCTGACAGGTCAAAGTTACGTAGACAATGCTCGTTCTGCCGTGAGGAATTGTCTGTTTGGAAAGCCTGCAAATATAGTGACAAAGATTTATATATACTGTAAATTCAGAAATTATTGCGTGCAATTATTATTGCGATTTTGTCATTTTAGACTAAAATGCGATTTTGATTTATGCAATTTTGATTTTTGCGATTTTGATTTTTGCGATTTTAAGAAAAATCCTGTTTAATTCATATACAAAATTTCAAAATACGAGTGTAAATTATTGCTATTATAACCCTGTCGCATTTTTCGCAATAATAAAAACATCGCAATAATTACAGTATATCAAATTAAAAATTTTACAGACTTTTTTTCTGCAAAGAATAATAACATTCAGAGAGCTCTCCAAAAATCTGAAAGTGAGTTGAAACTCAAAAAAAAAATATATGTGTAATTTTTTAGAGTTGACAGATTTTCTTTTAAAATTCTGCAGTTTTTCAGAAAACTGCATAAATTTGTATGCTTCCAATAATTTGTTCCCCCCTTAAAACCTCAGAATTTTAGGGATTTAAAAAAAAAATGATTCATAAATATTATACCCTACATTCTCACTTTCATGTTAATTTTGACTGAAAAGTATGAACTGTTAATTCAGTATTTATGAAAAAATAAAAAAATAGGTGAGTTTTTATCAAGATCAAGATAGTGATAAACATCAACAGAAAGTAGATAATAACTTTGAGTAAAACTCATAGATATTTAATAACAGAAAACGATAATCAATTTTGATGCATTAACTAATGAAATCAGATGGTAGGTACATCATGCAAATTCTGGGAGAGAAAAAAACAAATCATTTATCTCACCTAATTTATTTTATCTATCCTGTACAGAAAAAGGGAAGTAACTCTAAATCAGTATGAACCGTTTAGTCTATTTCATTTCTAAAAACTGACTTTCTATGTGTTTATAATTGAACATTAATATGGGATACAACTTTTGTTGATTTCATGAGTATGGGGAAACAATGAATTTATAAAATGCTCTATGAAATACAACTTTTAAGTTACTTTGATAGGGGCAAATGCTAAACTTTGAAATTAAGAACCCTAACAATAGCCTTTTTATCTTCAACAATGAAATCTGATACCAATGAAAATAAAATAATCTGCGATACGCCAGTTGTCAGATTCTCTATCAAAAAGAAAAAAAATGTATGCAATTTTCAATGAAGGAGTTACTTACTTTTTCTCCACTATACTGTTTGAGTGTATGCAGCAGACGACAGGTGTTTGTCAGCCATAACGTTACTCTCTCAACGTCACTGTGATGTTTCTGAAATAATAAATTGAATGATATCAATGATACAATCATTTTTTGTTTACAAAATTTTGAATCATTTGAAACACAACAGTTTTCAGTTTTTAAAACCCCCGGCATAGATGTCCATAATTGGTACATTTTTTTCGGTGTTTTTTGTTTTCATGATTTTAAACTTCGCAAGAGATTTGGACTTCAAAACTGTTTTAATTCAAGCGCCACTGATGAGTTTTGAGTAGTTGAAATGTACATCTGACATATCAAAGTATTAGCCTGGCATCTTTATTGTGTTCTTTGAAGGCAAGATACAGATTTTTTAAAATCTATTTTGCTTGTACTGGACTTTTACTGTTTCACATTTCTAATTTACAGATCTCAAATCCAGCATTGAATAATTAAATCATGTAATTCTAAGGTAATCAAAATAAAAGAATAAAAGAAGAATGTGTCTGAGGACATGAATGCTCAGGGTTTGCAATTTTCCAAGTTAAGGTAAAAAGGGCATAACTTTAGAATGGTAAATGACTCACTGCCCAAATTTGAACTCTGTCTGCATGTTGTGGTTCTCAGGATTGTGTACTAGTTTCATAAAATTTGGATGAGGAAAACTTAAGTTGGAATGCGGAAACGAAAATGGGACAGACAGAAGGACAGAAAGAGGGAAAGATGGAGGGAAGGATAGATGGTCATGGGTAACACTTAATGCCCCCATTGCCTATAGCGGGGGGCATAAAAAGAATGAGATTTGAGATTCAGATTGATAAAACCAGGTATTTTTAGGTTATATGGTTGTTCCATTAAGACATAAAGGGACCCAGGGAAGGCACTTTTAAGATCTCAACTAAAGTTGGGTGTCAAATACATTGAAATTCTATATCTGCCTATGCAGGTGGTTATCCCATTTTAGAAGTGCCATCTCTGAGTACCATTTATGTTTAAATGGAAACACTCTTATACGTAAATGTCCAAATTCTTTATTAACCTTTTCAACAGATTTTCTCCTTTCTCCTGACATCAGACCAAAAGATACCTTGTCAATGACCAATATATTGACCTACCTTGACACATTTCTTGATTCCATTAATGGTATTGGTCAGCAAACCTCTAACTTTCTCGTCATCATTAACATAATCAGTATGTCTAACACACATAAACAAAACATATGCTGGTAACCCTGGTAACAAACCAACAGCTACACGAGGTTTTAAATCTGAAATAAAAGTAAGAAACTGAAGTTAGCAATCTCACATACCCCACACACCCAAATAAAGGGTGTTCACAAATTCCCCTTCCAAAAATGTGGTCCCAAATTCAGATCTTTTCTGATCATGTTAAAAAATAAATGGCACTATCCCTGAGACGAGAATAAATGAGATAATTTTTCATGTAAACATTACGAAAAAGTGGTTCCCGTTTTCAGATTTTTCTAAAAAATACAACTCAATAATTACTCTAAGGAGCCTGACATACCTTTAAACCAGATGTTGATTCACACATTTTCACTTAATTTTATTAATGATGATTATAGGTAAAGATTTTCTGCACATTGATATATATAAACAAAAACAAAAATAATCTGTTTTCTGGTCCTTCACCACCCTTGGACATTTTTCCGCATGATGAAAGTAAGCTTGATAATGTCTCCTAAAACATTGTAACGTTGCTGATAACTTCTCTTCAGAACTTATGATGTCGCTGATAAGTTCTGCTCATTTAAAAATAAAAACAAGATATGAAATAACCAAATATACTGTGGATTTACATACCCATAATTAGGTTTTTGATGAGAGCCTGTTCATCCTCCTTACGATACTCTAACATGCCCATGTAGTTCCTCTCCCGATGTTTTACGTGGGCAACATTGTCTTCATTGGATTTAGTATCATCTTTATCCATCTCCGCAGCAATCTCAGCCGCTACAACAAAGGACACATTTTGAAAGGATAGCACAAAGAATCGTTTCTCAATTGTTATTATAGACCTCTCTCAATATAAGAATTTATACAGAGTTTTACTTATTACTAAATTTGTCGTTTTCATGAGCAACACTAGGGTGATTATAGCTGAGCAGAAATTTACTTTGTCAAAGCACATAAATCAACCAATTTTTGTGGAGATCTTGCTTCCAATTCTTTAGTCTTCTGTGTAATAAAATGTGGACTATGTTCAGTCTTATATTTTATGGTATTGCCTTTTTTACTTGTGCTGTTTTATTGTTCACTTGATAATTCATTTTTTCCATTCTTGAATTTCAGCATATTTTTCTAATGTATGATTTGCATTTTGAAATTATATGAAAATCTCTAGTTTCTAAATAAATATCTACTGATCTTTTACAGGATCAATTTTTTTTGAAAATATAACCTTAGACAATTACAACTAAAATTTAGATCTGTTACAAGTATGTTATGTTAGACAAAAAGTGTCTCCAACAAGAAAGGATCACACAAGCTAACATAAGCTCCACATACCTTCACCATCTTTGAGACGTTTGGCGTAAGTTTTTAACATTTTCTTCAGTTTGCGTATCTGGTCTTGGTTTTTGTCATTTGATTCTCGCAGATCCTGCAATGAAAATACAACAAAATAAATATGATTTTTTAATGTTTATATATATACAAATAAGAAGATGTGGTATGAGTGCCAATGAGACAACTCTCCATCCAAGTCACAATGTATAAAAAGTTAACAATTATAGGTCAAAGTACGGCCTTCAACACGGAGCCTTGGATCACACCGAACAGCAAGCTACAAAGGGCCCCTAAATGACTAGTGCAGAACAATTCAAACAAGAAAACCAACAGTTTAATTTATATAAAAAATTAGAAGAGAAACACTTATAAACCACACCAACAAACAACAACCCCTGAACAACAAGCTCCTGACTTAGGACAGGTGAATACAAATGTATTTTCTTACACACTTTTAATTAAATTCATCTGAATTTCATTTGATTCATGAAACGTTAAGGGCTGTTCAACATGTAGTGTACAGGTGTGTGCGTCCCTTTTATTGAAATTAGTACTGATCTATTTCAAAATTCTATACAAGTCTTTAAGATTTATTCTGGGTATACAGCATACTAATTATGCATTCCTTCTCATCCCTTACAACAATTTGTTAAAAAAAATCTTGTAGACATTAATTCAAGGAAACAATAATAATAATATTTGAAACATTTCCTTTGTTATGTAATAAGATGAAAAGGATGGTTTATCAATTCAAAATTATTCCAAGCAAGTAAAAAAAAACATAGCAAAGGAAAAGCCCTTTTATTATTGTTTTTTATCCAAATTCTTAACTCATTTTATTCCTTTTTTTGTTATTTTAAACATCATTTTCTAATATTGAGACTTGAAACTGTCAAAACCACAATTATGCATTGCAAACAAATTATGTCTTCCAGAACTTTTATGAAAATCTTTTTTTTATTGTATAGCTGCTTTGGTATCTGCACTGTTTAACTATATAAACAGTATTTTAAATAGTGCAAAATTGCAACCTTGCAAACATGTTTCCAAATGATCAGATTTTGCAAATATACATACCAGATTTTCTGATGTAAGCCTTTTAATTTCTTTCTGCATAGCTGCTTTAGCAAACAGACTAATTCATATATTACAACTGAATTCAAAGGTACAAACTAGAAACTTTTCTAACAATATTCCAGATTAAATCTCATGTACCTACCAGATTTTCTGATGTAAGCCTTGTTATCTCATGCTGCATGGTGGCTTCAATCTTAGCCTCGGGACCAAGTTGTAGATTCTGTAAACAAACATTGAAATATCGTTACTATTGAGTATATTCAACTGATCTGTTCCGAGAGACATTGTGTTTATTGTTAGAGCAGATTCTTTAATTATAATTTTAACAGGTGATTTAACACAACTGTTTGGACAAACTGTTTATGTAAAATCTAAACAAGGAAGCAAAGCATAATAACCTTGGGATAGTTTGAATTTATGAGGGTCTGGATGGAGGATGGGACTATCTATTTCTGTATTCTTAAATTTGTGCAACCATTTTTCGCTCTTCTTTATATATTTTTAACCCATTATTTTCTACTCTTTGTATTATAACATCCCATTATACTCTATTCTTATAATTTATATTTTAGAAACCTATTATTCTCTATTCGTTGGTTTGACACATTTTTCTCTATTCTTTATTTCTTTATGCCCATTAATCTCTATTCCATTAACCCCATCTTGACCCTCATTTATTAAGTTCTGGCATACTTATGGGTTACAAAATTCTGAACCTTGCTTCATTTCAATTGATGGGCTACAAAATTCTGAACTTTGCTTCATTTCGATTGATGGGGTATGACATTCTGAACTTTGCTTCATTTCTATTGATGGGCTACAAAATTCTGAACCTTGCTTCATTTTGATTAATTGGCTACAAAATTCTGAACCTTGCTTCATTTCGATTGATGGGCTACAAAATTCTGAACCTTGCTTCATTTTGATTAATGGGCTAAAAAATTCTGAACCTTGCTTCATTTTGATTAATGGGCTAAAAAATTCTGAACCTTGCTTCCTTTCGATTGATGGGCTACAAAATTCTGAACCTTACTTCATTTTGATTAATGGGCTAAAAAATTCTGAACCTTGCTTCATTTCGATTGATGGGCTACAAAATTCTGAACCTTGCTTCATTTCGATTGATGGGCTACAAAATTCTGAACTTTGCTTCATTTTGATTGATTGGCTACAAAATTCTGAACCTTGCTTCATTTTGATTGATTGGCTACAAAATTCTGAACCTTGCTTCATTTTGATTGATTGGCTACAAAATTCTGAACCTTGCTTCATTTTGATTAAATTATCAATAAACCAGTTTATCAATTCAATTAAGTTATATATTCTGATAAAATATAGAATTATAGAATTGCAAACTAAATTTCATTTTTTAACAATGTATGACTTTTTAATTATTTCTTGACATAATGTGTTTTAAGGTCATAAGGTCATAAGGTCAAATGTATGATATGACTGTATGAAATAGTTTCTTGAGAAGTAAAATTATGTATAATAAGATGGTATTAAACATTGTGCAGTTTCTGATTTTCACAACAGTTTGTAAAATGTACAGTTAAATTTTAATTCATAAAATGTGATTAACACAGTCTATTCTAAAAAGCAAATGTGAAAAAATCAAAAAATCTACAGAAACTGAATATGCATTTACTTAAAAACCAATGAATCAAACTTTTGATTTATTATCTGTGTGTGTGTGTTTGCAAAATTTGAGTTAATATAATATATATTGTATATTTAGTAGAAGTTTTGCATTCCATAAACAAGTCAAACACAGAAACACTAGCTCTACATCTCAGACTGAATAGTATTAAGTAAAAGTAAAATCACTTAAAAGTGGAAAAACAGTGTGGCTGATCTTCTCTTTTGGTCATAAAAAAATACTATTGTTTGACAGTAAAAGTTGTAAATATCTCTAGCATTCTACTATCTAGTTTTCATAAATTATTGTTCAATCTTGAAGACAAAGAAAAGTTTTTGAATTTTTATTTGATATTTTTTATGATCATACAATTTTTAAAAGAGCACTTTTAAAATGGTTTCCCAAACTTTAACATGCCATTTTTTCTTTCATCAAAACTATTGGTGTTATAGGGTAATCAAATCTAAATTCTGACTTAATTTATAAGTGATTGGAACTACATTTTTCCTTTAAAAAATGTCAAAGTTTGAACATTTTTTCACTGGGTTATAGTAAATGAGTTTTTTTGAAAACTTTTTTTTTTTCCAAAAAAAATGTGGCAAAATCTCAAAAAAGAAAAAGAAATCCAACATGGCCATGTAAAATTTTTTTTTTTAAATCACAATTTGGATATGACAGAAAATAAACAGAGAAAATATGCAGTCTGATGTATATAGCTTACAATAACATAACCCATTCCTTGTGTCATGCTTAACATAGGTGTAAATCCAATCCGTTCCTTAACTCTGGTCATGTAAGTTTTATTTATAAATATTTCTAAGAGCCTACATGGAAGACAGGTTAAAGACAGACATAATACAACAGATCTAAATGGGTATAGTCTAATGTAATGCTTGAATGCAGTTATTCCAATTTTAATGCAACAAATATATCCTGGTACTTATTTATCCACTAATTCATGTCATTGATAAATAATTTTTACACAACAATATTTTTCAATTAAAGTGTGATAAAAATATCCTTGACTTTCACTCTCCCCAGCTGTGATTTTTTTTCTAGCAAAAAACAATTATATTTAACTGTGAAAATAACTTTTTCAATCTTCCAGAATTCAAAATTATTCCAGAATTAAATAATTCCTAGTTTCAAGTCTCCTAAGAATGCATTTCTTCACGAAGATCTTAGTTGTCTACTGAAACATGAAGATTAAAAGCACACCTTCTTATAGTTCAAAATACAGAATTTCCTTCGTGATGAATTTACCAATCAAAAATATTTCTGTTGCATAAAAATATGATATAACTGCTGAAATTTGGTGTTGGTCTGTTCAATATTTTACAGTCACAAATTTCTGATTGTCCAACAAGAAAAATGTGCAAAAATATAAATGCTGCCTTAACATCTTGTATCTATGGCAACACATGAAAATGCATAACTGAAATTTTAGTAGAGTCCTGATTAGTATGAATATAAATGGAGGAATTACTCAAAATATTCTTGATGGCTGTTTCTTCATGTGTTTGTTCATTTACAGAATTTACAGCATTGAGGTCTAGTTTAGATTGTATAATTCATTGGGAGTTTGACAAATCTCAGGTGATTACGAATTTTCAAAATGTTTAGAGCTTGCCCAATATTTAGCCATAGGCGAACTTTTATTTGACATCATTAGTTGAACTTTATAAAAATAAGAAGTTGTGGTATGACTGCCAATGAGGCATTTCTCCACCAGAGACCAGAAGTTAGCAACTATAGGTTAACATATGACCTTCAAAATCATGATAAATGTAGGGTTGCTGTCTCATAGAGGGTTATTCCAATAACTGTCCTAATAAAAATTTCAGGGCAGTTTAAAATTCTTCAAACTTTTAAAAATATTTTTTGTTGATTCTCACTCAAATATGGTGCAAACATCTACTGTTCTTACTATGCAAGAGAATGCCAATAAATAAATGTGTCAGGTGAAAATGAATGATGGGTGATATGAAAAAAGTTTTCTAAGCAGAAAATCGACTAAAAAGACATAATACTAAAAGAAGTTATATCTGGAATAAAGCTGATTCTGACAAAATTGTTTAATGTCAACAATCAAGAACATTCTGAATAATTCCTGTAACCATGGTTACCTACACGAGTTATACTGTTATGCTGAAAGAAAGATGGCCGCCAATATAACCAGTATTTATATAATGAGCCACACAGCATTATGTTTTTACAGCATCTGCAGCCTCTGCCGTTTTTACACTATTTATTGACATAAATCATGTTTACAGACAACAACAAAAAAATCATCTTTATTTCCTATAACAAATTACATATCTTTGCATATCTAGTAAAATCAATCTTAAAGGAAACCTGCATATTTATGAAAAACGTCAAAATAAAAAACACGAAATATAACATTTTGAAAATTATTTACTTGTGTATATTTCAGACTAAAAAAAAAAGAAAAACATTCACTTTGAAAACTTACAGCAAGTTTTTTTCTTCTTCTAAAAATGACGAACACTTTCTTATTTCTTCACAGATTCCAATTTTCTTAATTGCAAAATCATTTTGTCAAAATTTCCTAATATACCGATTTTTAAAAATTAAAAAAAGGTGATTGTGTGTTTCTCTTGTTGATGAGCAAAAAATTCTTGCATCTGTCTCTGGCAATAACTGAAATCCAACACTTTCATGGATATTCAGAGTGACATTCCTTATTTTAGTACCTATAAAATGCCAAAAGGCCTTGTTTTCATGGTTACAAACCTGTTGAATAATCTTTTGCTGTTTTTCATTTTCTTCTTTTAAGTCTTTCACTTGTTTCTTTAATGTAACTTCTTTTTTCTTTGAATCTTTTTCTGTTTTCTGTAGCTGGTTTTCTAGTAGTCTGTAAATTATATTGAAAAAAAATTATGACATATCATTTTTTATTCTTTTCAGAAAAATGCTCACAAATACCTTAAAACAAAAGGTGAAGGTCATATTCTTTGCCAAACCCATTGTAATGTTATTGATTGTTTTGCGTTTTGCAGATATTTGTGACATAACACCAATTAAAGTACAATAAAAAACCAATTTTAATAGGGCTTGTTTGTAAAATTTGTCAAAACTATCCTGATTTGAAAAGAATTTTTATCTGGAATTTTGTTTTATTCAAAAGAATTTTTCTTCAGAGAAAACCCCCATAAAACTGCATCCCCCGTCAAAACTTGTACCACAACTACATTTTTCAAACTTTTGGGACTTTTCACTTACTCCTCACAAATCTCACACATTAAAACATATGGTGGTTCATCTGGACACATTGTACTTTTATCTGATGTGATAATTCTCTCAATACGTAAACGTCCCAAACAATCTGGACATCCACATATAGAACCTTCATCCCAGTCTATAGCGTTGTCATGGTGACAACTTATATACTGACAATCTTCAAAACTTTCTTCTGGACTAGGAACTTCTATGTTTTCCACTTCTAATAAGTCTTCAAACTGAGAATCATAGCTGAACATTTTATCTGTTAAATTAAATTCTGATGACATAGTTTCTCCAAAACCAGATTCTGGCTGTGAATACCTCATACTTGTACAATGTTCACCATGTTCATTTTCAGAACATGTGCTGTGTACATCTTGTTCATTATCAGAACATGTTAAGTAAGCACCATCCTCAACAGACATGTCGTCTGCTGAGTGATCTAAGTCAGGGAAATGTTTTCTGTTATGAAAATCTACATCAGTCAAATGTTTATCATATAAATCTTCTGCTGAATGTTTATGGGATTGATTTTTAGATGAAACTTCTTGATGAAGACAATGGCAATTATTTTCATGAACACAATCGGTGTGATCATCATGTGACTTAGTCCTGTGAACACATTTATCACATGATTGGTCACATGATACATTTTGACTGTTTGGCAAGCTACTTATATTGCAATTAGAATCACTTAATACTGTCAGATTGTCGCATATTTCTGTATGGCACAATTCGTCACAAATTTTTTCGTCATTGAAATCTAGTCCCTCTGAGTTAACATGCAATTCTGATGAAAGATTTGTAACCGGTTCATCTATCATGACTGGAGCAGTTTCACTATGATCATGATTTGAATCATTTTCAATATGATTACTATGATTGTCAACAGATTGATGATTGTGATTACTGTGATTAACCTGATGCCAATTATGTTTAGTTTGTTCATTATCTACTTTACCATCATTTTCCTTTTCAAATAAAGAATCATGATAATCAGTTTTATCACAATCAATATGATTGTTATCAAAACTTTTGGTGAAATCACATGTTTTATCGGAATGATCATGAACATGATTAGTAGGATTAACAATTTCTTGAAGTGTTTCACTACATGTCTCACGTTTGTAATTGTCTGAATATGAAGTCTGATTGTCTTCTTCGGATAAATGATTTAAGTAATCACTGATATCATGATTACCATTATTGGTAAACAGAGCTTGGACAACTTCACAGTTTTTATGACAGACTTTATGATGCTTAATTGATGTTTTCTGTTCATCCCCACACTGACATACATTTTCCAGTTCTGAACCTTCAATTATAACATGTGCTACCTCCTCATCTTGTTCATATGTCACATGATCATGATGAGAATTTAGTTCACAAGTCTCATGTGAGTCAGGTTCACGGTACTCTGTCAAGTTTTGTTCAATACTTTTCCATAATTTTTGTTCAAATTTATCATTTGAATTTTCAGCACTATATTCTATTTCATTACCATCTCCTTTACAAATTTCAGAAAAAAAATTATCGTTATTATTTTCCATAACTTCTATCTCACTAATAGTGTACAGATTTTTGTTAAAAACCCTCCCACTAGTAAAAAAACTATTTTCCGAGGCTCCTGTTTTGCTTTCATCAGGGACATCAATGTTAATAATCTCTTGCACTTTTTCAATGTCTTCATCCCTGAAACAAACTTTGACCTGACTATCAACATCAGTACTTTCATCTTCATCAAAACTATTATTAATATCCGAAGTTTCAATTTCATCTACATTTTTTCCATTTTCACTTTTTTCAAAAGACGTGATTTCATGTGGAGTAATATGGCTCCCATTTTCATATATTCCTGATAAATTATCCAAAGGCTCTTTGATAATGTAAACTTCATCTCCACTAAGATTTTCATTAGACATATGTTGCTCACCTTGCGAGTTTGCATCACAAGTTATCTCAACATCGCAACTATTATTCTCATGAGCAATACATGTACTTTCACTATTTACTTTACAATGCTCACTAGTTTTGTCACTTTCCTCATCTTTTAATGTGTTATAATCTAAATTATGACTTGTAAAATTTTCAAACTCCTGAAGAACAACTTCTACTTTAGAACAGTTATCAAAATTAGAAGATGTATCACTTCCATCGTCAGTTACATCAGCAGCCAAGTTATCAATGCCTTGAAACTGAGGTTCTTTTTCAACTAGTAATGAATCTTTTTCACTTGTATCAATATTTTCAGAGAATGTACCCTCCCCAATTACTAAATTGTCTACATTGCCAGATATCTGTTTAGCCATGGCATCCCCCCGATTATAATCACAGGATATTTCAGCATCCATAGTACTGGTATCACATTTATGATGCTCTTTAAACCTTGAATTACTTTCACCATCTTTTCTTTCCTTATCTACATCTATATCACATTTCCAGTTTTCAATTTGAGCATTACCATCGTCCTTTTGTATTGAAAGTTCAGATATATTAGCAGCCATGTTATCAATCCCTATAAATTCGGATTCAGATTTAGTCGTTATTAGTGAATCACTGTCACATTTGTCAATTGTTTGAGAAAATTCATCACTCCCGATACTACTATTGCATTTTACATCCTCCTCGCTCATAATCTGGTCCTTTTCATCCTTGTCAGAATTACTGTCACTCTCAATACTAATTTTACATTTAACATCCTGGTTCCTTGTTATCTGGTCCTTCCCATCATCACCAGGATTACTGTCACTCTCAATACTAATATTACACTTTACATCCTGGTTCCTTGTTATCTGGTCCTTCCCATCATCACCAGGATTACTGTCACTCTCAATACTAATATTGCATCTTACATCCTGGTCACTCATAATCTGGCCCTTTTCCTCCTCACCAGTGTTACTTGTAATATCACTGTAGGAACTCTCACAAGTTTCCAATGTCACCTGACTTTCGTTCAAACCAGAATCGCACGATTCTACAATCTGGCTATCGTTTAATTCTGACTTAGACTCAGTTTGATCATGTGACTCAATATCTTCCAATTTTTGTACTTTAGCAGTCACATCATGTGATTCAAACTCCTCCTCATTTTGATCTGCAAGAACTTGTGACACCCTTGTTTTTACCGAATCGTCAAATGTCCAATATCCACTTGTTTCATTCATTAAATCTAAATATTGGACAGACACAGCGTTTGGATTGTCAATCAAAGATACTGATTTGTTGTTGTTCCATAGAGAACTATTTCTTGTGGAATAATTTGAAGTGAGTGATTTGTCATCCTCATCATCTGATTGGTTATCACCTGATGATGCTGCTGCCCCCATTGTTGACCTTTGACCAGGCTGTTCAACCTCTGTTCCTCCTGTAATCAAAGAAAAAGATGAGCTTACATGTCACAAATCTTATGATTTATACAGCAATAAAATTATAGGTAATTAAACAATTGAAATGTTTCACATGTAAAAACATAATGAAGTAATTATTTCTAAATATCTTATTTTACACTATCATGACTATGTATGGCAGGAAGTTTGCCATGTAATTTTATTCCAACATGCATGTCTGCATGTAAAACAAGATAATGGTATGCATCTTTCAACAGGATCAATATTCCAAATCACACATCTGAATAGATGGAGATATTGAGCATAATGCCAATCAGAAAACAATCCAATGACATCAAATCTCAAAAGACAACTTATGGTCATCATATTATTGCGAAAAATGCGACAGGGTTATAATCGCAATAATTTAAACTCGCATTTTGAAATTTTTTACATGAATTAAACAGGATTTTTCTGAATATCACAAAAATTAAAATCGCATTTTAGTCTAGAATGACAAAATCGCAACAATAAATGCACGCAATAATTTCTGAATTTACAGTATACAATTCATTCTTACTAAGTTTTACTAAAATTATGTCTGTTCTGAGTGTCCACACTGTGAATGTACTATACAAATAAGAAGATGTAGTATGATTGCCAATGAGACAACTCTCCACCAGAGACCAAAGGATGTATTCATGACTGCTTTTTATATATATACTAATTCTCTAATAATTTGTAATGAGTATAAAAAATAATAAGTTTAAGAGCTCAAAAACAAAATTACTCTTATAAAAGTAATAAATGACAAGAAAGATTTTTTAAAATAATAATTTGAAGCAATATACAATTTACAAATCTAAGATAACATTTATATTGTAAATGTACATAAAACTTTACAAGATGTCCTACTTTAACATTTCAACCATTTCTTTTACATTTGTAACAATAATTGTAACATTCCATCAAATTGTTATATAGTCATATGTGAAAGCCTTTATTTATAAAATGTTGATAGATGTTCTTAAAATACTTGTTTGTGTCACAACTAATACAATGTACTGTTAAATTACAAAATCATTGTCAAATCATTCTGCCTTCATCATTCAGAAACAACTTTCAAGGTCATATTTAAAACAATACAAGCTATACCTTTTTACGTTTTTTCTCCATGTTTAAGTTTTTAAAATAACGTTTGAATAGTCAATTACATAATTTCAACACTAAAACAAAAGCTTTTACTCCAAAATCATCAAATGAATTAGACAAAATCATTAAATGCAAAATTGATGATATACTAGTC